AGAGAGATAGAGATAGAGAGATACAGAGAGATTCCAATAGACCTTCTTTATTAATCACATATGGACTGACCCACTACCGAAAATGAGGCATTCATATTCCCTCTGGACCAGATTTCGCTTGGAATTGAGTATGCGATGCTCTCGATTTCACCAGACTCTGGAATCCAATGAAGAACTACTGAAAGGTACGACGAAGCTTTTCGTGTACCTGGGAACCCTGAGTGAATCCATGGTGAAGTCCTTCTACAAGGCCTTCCCTGGGGAGAACACCTACCTCTTCGGATACATGCCCCTGACGGAGGGAAACGGGAGTTCCTCGGCCGTGTCCTTCCGTGTCTACAATCGCTGTCTCTACTGTCAAGGCGGGAAACCAAAGGTCGTACTCGTCGATGAGGTCTCCTGGGCTCTGGGCGACACCCTGCAATCGAAGATGGCCTCCCCAACGGCCAGTTTCACTGGGAATTTCTATGGAGCAAGGTTAGCGTTGAAAAGGACGAAATATGAAGTGAATGCCAGATATGCGACTTTCGAAATTGCCTGAGAAAGGAGAGAAAAAAGTAGGATTTTGAACCGGGAGGAGTTAGAAAGTGTAATGGTGAAGGGGAAGTGGAGATATTGGTGGCACGGGAGGGTGGGGGATTGAGGACCAAGGGAAAAAACGCAGGGAGAGGGGAAGGCGGAATGGGAAGCGGGCGAGAGAGAGGGGCAGGGGCGGGATTGGTCTTCAAGTACCAGATTTTGTCGAAGCTTTCCAGATATTTTACCCAAACAGCGATCTCCACAGATCTTAGCGCAGACGATGAGCGAACGTCGTCGAAATTTGGGACACCCTTGAGTATAAAGGTACACGATCTGTGGTGAATTTTTCTATCCTAAACATGCTTAATATACAAATTCAGTGCATTTTATATGTTGTACTCAGTTTGGGCGGTTTTGGGGCGAACGCTCGAGTAATTCGCAATTCTCGGGTTACTCCAAATCCCTGGGGGGGTCATTTTTCACGCATCAATTTTCACTTTTAATGAAGTGAACTGACTCTTCAATAACTTTTGTTGGCAAAGTAGCAATATCATGATCAATATTAATTAAATTATATAGCAATTACTACCTTTAATTACAATAACTATGAAGAAGAAGAACGAATAGCATATTATACGACAACCATCTCTAGAACGTTTGATTTTGAACTGATGACGGTTTTGTGTTACGAGGATATAGCTATGGTTCCGATAAATAAGCATAGTCCAGTAGCGAACGAGAAAAAAAAGGTGCCAGTGGGATTTCGTTCCTATCGGTCAGAGGGCATGTGCGAAGCGACGATGAGATGCCTCGATCAAACTATTCATTCGAGCCATAGAGAAAGCGACTTTCAAGTCTGTCATTAGTAGTGGATCCTCTCAATGCGATAGCATTCTCGTTTAAAGGGCCAAAAGCGATAGCCACATGGAACCATACCTTCTATGATTTCCGACTGTTCACCTAGCTTTATTCTAGGTAAATGTACATCGTCCTAGCAGGAGTGATTCTGAATTAAAAGCCACATGCCAGGATCAGAGCATGTTTACGGAGAGCGACCGATGCAATTGCGACATTAATATGGATTTTAACTACGTCACGAATGAAATGCTTCATCCTTTTCCCTGAAGGCTCCACATTGGCGCCAACCTAGGGGAACCATTCATCCACTTCGTCGAGGGTCAAAAAGGGAAATCGACCTTAGAGGGCTATGCCGTGGACTTGGTCAACGCCCTAGGCGAAAAACTCAACTTCACCTACGACTTCCTTCTTGTTGACGAGGGGAAGCTGCTTAACATCGACGGAGCTCCCGATGGGCTGATTGGGCTGGTCCATAGAGCCGAGGTGGACTTCGGGATCTCGGGACGCCTCCGCAGCCGCGGCTATTATCGGTACGTGAAGTACTCCACGCCGTACACTGTGGATCGTATCGTGATGATCGTAAATAAGCCTTCGCGGATGTCGCCGTCCTCGCACCCGTTCGCCAGTTTCTCTTGGATCTTCCTCCTCGCTTGGGTCGCGTCAATCGTCTGCTTCACCTTTTTCATCATGGGCATCAGACGCTTTTGGTTCACTGGGTCATTTGTGGAACCAACATGGTTATCGGTATATCGTGTGACCACCTATGTTTCGATTCCTCAACGTGTCTACCTCCACCATTCGTCATACCGGCTCTCTTTCGGCTTCCTCTGGCTCGCCATGGTCATATTCTACGTCATCTACCAGGCTTCGCTTCAGTCCATGCTGAACGTCACGGAATACGCGTCACCTGTGAATGCCATCGATGACTTCGAGAAGCAGGGCTTGCAATGGCTGGTGAACGAGGGCACTACTGCAGATTATTACTTCGAGGACAACCCTTATATGCAGGCAGTAAAAGTCCGCTATGCCGGGAACGAGTCAGCCTTGGATATCATGATGAAGAATCCCTACATGTACGGGACGGTGAGCGATATGATCAGCTTCCTGGTACAACGCAATCGCTACCTGCAGGCGGATGGCTCAAACCCTTTCTGGACACTGCGAGAGACCGTTGATATGTTCCTATTGTCCATCCCGTTTCCAAAGGTGTCACTCTTCCAAGAGTCATTCAATCGGGTCATTCGACGGCTCGTAGATGGAGGCATCGTGAAGCACTGGCGCGAGATGGCGCAATTTCGGATTCAGCTGCGTAACGTCAAGGATATTCTCACCAGGAAGGATAGTTATTCCGAAATGCAACGCGTGGAGGCATTATTACCGTTAGGGATAGCTTATCTCGTCGGGCCTTTTTATCTCCTCGCGGCTGGAGAAGCGATCGCCTTGGTCGTATTTTTCATCGAACTTTTCGCTGTGAGGGCCGGTTCACGGGAGCGCCAAACTGCAATTAAATGATTCCAAGGGTTCTCCTGATGTGGGAGAATTCCTTCAGTCACTTTATTTTGGTCTGGTAGGCTAGCTCAACTCTCTTTCGCGATTATCAGCAAATTGCTTATTGCAGTTTCTTATGATCTCAACAAGTCACTGTTCATGATTTTCTTCTCTGTGATGTCTTAGTAAGCCACGTTTCATACTTCTGAATTAAATTTCCAGAGGCTCGAACTTACTCGGCATCCCGCATAATTATCTGGTATATGTTCTGCTTCAATGGATAACACCTTCAAGAGGAATAAGGAGCCCATTCCTTTGTTTCTCGCATCACCTCGGCATGATCCGACTGAAAACCAACTATTTCAAGGAATCATTCACGTAAGATACATTTTACAATGAACACAATTTAATGGGCTATTAGAATTCACTGAATGTGTTTGTGTTTCATCTCACCTCTATTGCCACTGAATGCCACCCAATGAAACATCTTCGAAGAGGCATTTGAGCATCTACATGAACAAGTCAATATTTGTTTCTCCATATTCCTTCCACTTATAATCTAGTGTCAGCACCAAATGTGGTTTGTGTGGGAGTGCCCACGAACAATTCAGGCAAATGTAATATTTCAAAAATGTCGTGAATCAATTCACATCTATACGTTGCAGCTAACGAAAGATCGACATTTCACATTTTATTGCACACATTTAAAGCATCTTCATATTGTTTTTCAGCTTGTTTGAAACGAAATGGCGATTCCTCGAGAGAACCCACATTTCGTTTTTTGCTTTGCGGAGGTGAAGTCAGTCGCACAGACGGAGCACAAGTTCAGAACAGTCTACAGAAAGGACAACTGATGAATGAAGCCATTTAAGCGAAAAGGGGAATAAGCTCGGAGAGGCTCTCAACGTTGAGGGGAAGCGTTGCACGGGTAGGGGAAGCTTCATCGGCGCCTTCGTCGGTGCGCCTACATTGTACGCCTGCGATTTTAAATTGTTGCATCCATCAGTAGATGGAATCACGGATCTTGCCTGTTCTGAACTTGCGTTGCACCTCCGTGACTGACTTCACCTCTGCGAACCACATCACGGAAAATATATTCTCTCGTGAAATCGCCATTTCACTTCAAGCATGCTGAAGAGTAAAAAAATTAGAAGATTAATACACTTGATATGTATGCAATGAAACTTGAAATATTCACATTTTCGTTTCCTGGAAGCTTCATGCATTTACGTTCATTTGCTCATGATTTATGAGAGATACAATAAATTTAAAATATTGCATTGACACACTATATTCAGTTGAATATTCTCTCTCACCATAGATTTTGGTCTATTGTGAATTTCCTCCCCTGTGGCTTTAAATGTCGTCTTCTGCTTGAAAACACTGCTCGCCTGGAAAAAAAACCCCGCGCATTTCTGGTCACCATATCGTCGTTCTGCTGAAGGTTTTTGCTTCAGAAATACAAAGACATTATGGCGTGAAGTTACTTTAGTTCTCTTGCATTGATAGCCTGCATGATAAACGGGCTTCTCAGAAGACGCAGACATATGAGGAAATTTAAGTCATCATCTATTGAAGAACCCAGAGAGATGTCCAGAGAAAAACTAATCTGTCCAGGTTGTAAAGGAATTACCATTTTATTGCGGAAAGAAGAATATGCAGGTATTTAAGGAATTGTATTCATTTCCTCAATACGTTTTGGGATAATTTTTGCCTTTCGTATTTTGTCATCTAATCAGTCGTGGTTCCACATGTAATCATAAAAAGCGTGTTCATGTGTGTTTCTCTTCGCAAAAAAAGAGCATTGTTTGGCTTGTACTTTGCTGAAGCTATGCTTGATGGGAAGTCGAAGATGATAAGAGATTGGAGGGAGAATCAGGAGGTGCTACTTGTTGAAGACTCTGTCATGCGCCTGGTGGCAGCTACTGGGAAGGACTGGGGCGTTCGGGAGTCCGATAGATCATATATTTATTTGCTAGAAATTTAACAAAGACATATATTTTCTAGCCGTCATCACTATAAGTACGCCGCAAAGAAACACGAAATGCGAAAGCACTCAATCGACTTACATGTAGGACAATAGCAAATGGCACTGCCACGTAGAAGCAAGCGCTAATTCCAGTTTTACTTTCATTCCACTATTTTTCCCTACCATTTTCACGAATGAAAGAGCAAAAATGAGAGATTAAGGAAGTAAGTTTCCTTATTCCACTCTTATGAGACTAAAAAGGGAAGAAACCTGGAGATAGCGATTGCTACATTTTAAAAGTGTACTCACCAAACTTCAAAGTCGAACGACGAGCATATCTCCTATGTTGAGCTCTATATTTTTTTTAAAGGAAGAATGCTGAAAATAAGTAAGCCCTAAGATGCCTATATTTATTAGTATAAAACTTGAATACATAATACACACCTCATCCCCTCGCATATGAAACACACCAAATCACATTAAAAAATTACTCACATCTGCTCGGATAAACAACAACCATTCTTCAGAATTTCGTTCTCAATTCAGATGTCCTTGTGAAAGTCAGCTCAGAAGCACTGTCCTGTCCCTGAAGAGGTCTAGAAGGCACTCTCGGATGCCAACACGAATAGTTGGACGAGTCCAACCGTCCATGAAAGGAATGCAATGAAGTGCCCGGTTGCCGAGGAAGCGATGAATGAAGGGCATCGTCCCGCTGTTGACGAGTCGAAGGAAATGAAGTTGTGGCCAAGAGAAATGGAGAGGCCTGCTTGGCTGCTGCTGGGATAGATGATGGGGATTCCCTAGCTCTTCCTCACACGGTGGAAATGGGCATAGTCTATTCGGCCCCCAAAAACACACTTGTGGCTTCGATGTGACAGGTTAAGGGGGGAGCCTCGTTCATTGAAAATCACCTATGCTCCTCATGGAGAGGAGGTCTCCATACATAAGACATGGTGAATAGAGATATTTTTCTTGAAAATCAAGTTTGCCGACTTTCTTTCGTTCAATTGGGTGAAGGTGTAATCCAAAGGATTTCTCTCAGCTGACTGAAAGGTACTGTCCTTAATATGACAATACCGAAGCGTGTCATGAACCTTTAGCTTCCCAATGACATGCCTGATGATAGGTGTTTACATGTATCTTTGACTCTTCCCTTACGGAAATGTCCTATAGGAAACCCATAGTTATTTCTTATAGGAAACCTATTGACTTTCCTATAGGTTTTTGAAACACGAAAAACCTATAGGATCCTTTAGGATCCTATAGGAACCCTATAGGGTCTTATAGGTCTCCTGACCTATAGGATTCGGAGTCCTATAGAGAATCCTATAGGTCCTATAGAGAATCCTATAGGTCCTATAGAGAATCCTATAGGTCCTATAGAGAATCCTATAGGTCCTGTTGCGAACCCTACAGGTCCTATAGGGAACCCTACGGGTACTATACAGAACTGTTTGGTTCCTATAGGGAACCTATGGGCCTTATGGGGAACCCTTTTGGTTCTATAGGGAACCCTATTGGTTCTATAGGGGGATCTATAGGTTCTATAGGGGACTCTATAGGTTCAATAGGGGACTCTATAGGTCCCAAACTGAACTCTATAGGTCATATAGGATCCTATAGGATTCCTTTAGGTTCCTATAGGAATCCTATAAGACATTTTCGTAAGGGTTTGCCTCTCACCGCCCCAGCAATAAAATATTTAGTCCTCAACCAAGTGTGTCCTTTACTACCAAATAGTCTATATGTCCGTGGCACACATGTTTCTTCCTTCGGGTTGAAATTCTCCGTGACGATCACGAATTATCGCCTAATCGTCTTGCAATATCCATGGTATTCAATGAGCGGATGAACATGTCCAATCCAATCAACATTCCCTTCCAACTCAGAAATCTTAGGTTTGAAATTCGAGTTTTGAAATTTGAAATTCCTACGCAAATTGCACTTTCAATTTGCGTTGTTTTTCGTTCATCTTGCTTGTCCAGTTTCTTGTCCTCCCTAGTTTTTATTATTATAGTAAACTCCTCTTGCACTATTCAAGAATTAGAGGGAAACATCAAAACGTTCATGAAAATCTTAATGGCCAAGTAGGAGTTACTTTTATGATGATGAAATCACCGTAACTTATAATGCGCATGTCCAACATAACGGAATAAAGGGACCGCGCGGGAGAGTCGCGGCGGTCGGGGGTGCCAATTAGAGCGAGTCGGACAAGGAGTTCAACTGGAGGAGGGTGGGGAGAAGCCTTAGAGAAGACGCGGGACATTGGGTGGGCCATTGATGCTGGAGATCGGATGCCGTCTGTCACCCCACACCCATACCACTCTGGTTCATATTCAGCAATTGCTCGTTGAGTATCTATGGCCTAATAAGCATATGAAGGAAAATAAATTTCGAGCGTTGATCCCATATCCATTTTCTGGTTCTCCTTCTTGTTGACCTCTTTCCAAGCTGGTTGTCACAATAAAGTAGGTAAATATTTAGTGAGTCTACGGAGTCATTATATACCTCGAACACGATGGCGATCTCTTCGTGATAATCATTACAGTTTTTCCCAATTTCTAACGTCCGTTTCTCAAAACTACACTTCCGTTTTCAAAACAATTTGAACAAATCCCTGAACTCTGCAGTCTTTTCACTAAACTTAACATCCGGTTTCATTGCTAACGTACGAAAAGCGAAACTGGAAGTGCGATTTCATATCTTCACGGACCTTTTTGCATTTAAGCATATTAAATATGCTTAAATATGCGAATGACGAAGGTCGACTTTCACCTATAGAGACCATCAGACACCGAAATGAAATTTCCCGGGAAAGAAAAGTCCGGAGAGTCCCTCAGAAAACACAATGAATCTTGGAATGAGACAGTCCTCGGAAAAAGCCGAGTCTCTGAATTGTCCGAAGTCAAGCAACATCAGGCAACTGTCCTTCATCCCTGGCAATATCTTTTTTTCCCCCGGCAAGTGCTCTTGCCTCCGGTCAGAAGTCCTTATCCCTTGGTCCATTGCCCTTATCCCCTGGTCCATTGCCCTTTCCCCCAGTCAATTTCCCTTT